GCAGAACCCAGGGAACAACTGCTTGAGGTCGGTCGCACACGGCCTTTTTGTGGGAGGTTTCTGACATGTTAGCTCCGTTCTTCAAAGGACCTTACCGCCGGAGACAGAAATCCGTGAGATAGGGTGAGGTGTGACATTTTTAGGGTCGACCTTTTCTGACCCCTTCCTTCCTTGTGAGAAGGCAGCATCGCTGCAGATGCTGGTTGTCTGAGGGAAACACCTTACTGCTGTCACACTCCTCTACAGTCAGCAGTAAGACTTCGCCCTCAGAGCTTGAGTTGCTGCCTATGTCTACCTCTTTACATCTCATAGAAATGAGTGAGTTTTTGTCTCGTATTGATTGTTGGTCTGTTGTTAATCGTCTCATACTTAATCCGTCTGGATGTCAAGCTGTTAACTTTAGCATGAGACATGAACTAAATTTGGGGATCCCATAATACCTGTGTCATTGGAGACTCTTTGGTAAACACAATGTCGAAGGTCAATTATCTGCGTGTTACCTTTTCCTTTGATCTCTCTTGGTTTTCTCACGTTTTACCTATTATTCTTTAATGTTCTCCATTATTTTTTCCCGGGCTTTTGAGAAAAGACTGCTTTATTGCGGAGTGTGATGAAGGCAGTTAGCAAGGTGTGTGGTGAATCTTCCGAGGTCATAATTAATATGGTTGTGGATAGACATCTTAAGTCATGCAAACTCCTGGCAGGTGTTATCTTGCGAGATACTAACCATCCCCTTCACTCATATCTTTCTCCTTGTATATCTTCTGGTAGAATGAGACATAATTACATTAAAATCCATGCAGGCAAGCAAAAGTATAAGATTGCTATAATACTCTGTGACGAATAGGTTGTTAGAATTAACACGGTCAATAACCTGCATTCGTAACCTGTCTCTAATTTGGAAAGTTGTACATTTTTTCAGACTTTTTTTGCCCTTTTTCCTTTCTTCTTTTTTTCTTTCTATTGTAAAGGAAACTTGTTGAAATACCTTGTGCTGAGAATTATATATTGTAATAAAATATGATATTGAATAAAGCCATTATTAATAATACTTTATTCTTGGAATTCAGGTTTGTTGAATACATTTACCTTAAGAATAGCTGTGCTTATGATGGTAAAGAAACCTACTGAATAAATACTTTTGTAAGCCTATGACATTACCCCTGACCTTATCAATCTAACTGGACACTCCGAAGGTCTTTGGTTAAACGGTCGTCCCAATCCACGTTTGCTTATTCTGTCTTATATCTCTTGCGATTATTAGTTAGCTTAGATTACTTACGATTCAATGCACTGAAAATCATTTCTTCACGACTTCCGCGTTGATCTGGTCTAGAATTGTTGCATAGAAAAAGGTTTGGACAAAAGATGCGCTTTAAATACTTTCAAGAATTGGACTTTACCAGAACAAACTCAGACACTCTTGGCACAGGAATGCTTTAGTACTATTCCATTACCCTTTTCTTCACCCCAAATCCTACATTTTGTGTAGTCCTAACCAGAAGTGATCACGCTCTGATTCTTTACGTACATCTGACTTCAACGTCTATGAATCCGTAAGATTGAATTCCTGTTTAATGCCATCCGCCTTACAAAACTAATCTATTTTTTGATCAAAATCGTACGGAGAAATTTCACTTTGGTTGGTTTTTCATCATGGATATACACTATTACATATATATATATATATATATATATATATATATATATATATGATTTACAACAATGAACTAACACTCATCAATTAGTTATGTAACATAATGATTATATGATGACGTTGATAATAAAATAACGTTGGGCGATTTGAAGAAAGAGGATATCAATAACCAAAGTATTTCTTCGAAAAATTAAATAGTTGCTAAGCTGTGTAATATATGAAAAACAAGGAACTAATAAAAAATTCTGATAAAAGTTCGGTATTTTAGCAGTTATTAAACAGTATTTGTTGCTAACCACATAATTGTCGAAGCTGAACATAGAGTTATTGAAAAAACTGACATCCAACATGTAACACTTAGAGGAGGTTGAAAGTGGCGAACGCGGGAACATTCATTCGAAATAACATGGCTCAGATATGCAAATGTGGTCACCCTGTGTAGCCACTTGTTTTTGTATTGAATATATTACCCTCTACTCAACTCAAAATATGTCCAGCAGAAGTGTTAGACGTCAGATTTTTAATTGTCAGAGTAGGGCGAATCGGCGTGGACTATGATGTGACACTCAAGTAAGATGCCATAGATTCGTGATTTATAGTGAAGAAGAAGTACGATTGGTCGTCGAGCGTGGACAAACGGTCATAGCCTATGAACTATTGAAGATGTGATTTTCGTTTCCATCTTTGATCTGTACTCTAGTCTCAGTGTGTGAGACTGCTTGTAACTGAGTTGAATGGAATATTCTTTAGTGTGAATCTGCCTCTATTTTGGATCGCGAATCCTGTTTCTGATATAACGTGATTTGTCTTATTGATGCATTAACTTAATATACCTGTAGAGATGAAAAAATGTTGTAAGCCTCCCATTATATCAATTAGGTAGTTATATGATTACATATCTACAATTTCGGGATTGGGTCTATTATTATTGTAGCAAAGATAAATTTACTAACATCGAGAAGGATCATAATTCTACCTTAGTGAAACCAACCAAGGAAATGCATCCTGTTGTTAATTCACATATCCATTTCAAATTTATCGGTTGATTCCTACCTGTCTTAACCCATTTTTCTATTAGTCTGTTGATAAATGCTCATGTGTATTATCGTATTGCAATACTGATTATTACTCAGCTTATTATATTGATCGATACTAATAACTGGTTAACCATACTTTTGTCTAGCTTGTGGTGACCTACTTTTATCAAGAGAACGAGATTGGTTTAATGGAAACAATTATTATTATAACCAATTGTACCAGTGATTGTTTTGCTATACTTGTTTGTTTAACTCTACTAAAAACATACATTATCTTCCATTATCCTCCCGTCGATTGTGACCTTGTACGCTTTTATGTTCGCCTACTGATTCCACTTGTATTTCTTTGGCACGATCTCGGTATTCTCTCGATACCACGAGATCGCCAACGAATATATATCGGTAAAACCTACAACCGCCTTCTGATTTCTGGTACGCAACCTCCTTGTAGTTCTGTTCGTAGTCAAGCGTGACTCGACACTACAAGCTAACATGGTTCGTTAAAAAACTTTAGTAGTATTGACATGTCTCAGTGAAAAGGGGTTTCTTAAAACATTAAAAACTAGCAAACATGTCTTTTAATCGACGTTAGTACACACTGCGTAGCAATGTCAACAAGGACTGTATATCTATGTGGGTCTGGTTTACCATATTACTTTCCTACTTGAAACCTCAATCTATTTAAAACTATGGACTGTCTCCGAATATCACACTCAAATCCCAGTCAGTGAACAGATTTCTTGGTATTGGTTTTGTTGGGAAGGAGGGCAACCGTTGATACTGACTCCGTGTTCAATAGGGCGACTCTAAAACCGCCAAAGCGGCTTATGCCAATCTCGGCCATCTTCGTTGCTTTCGTGATGATAGTCTGGCTGTAAAACTTCGGATCTACAACGCATTGGTGAGAGCAGTTTTGCTCTATGCTTGTGAAACCTGGCCTCTCCGAGTTGAGAACGTTAGACGACTCTCTGTGTTCGATCATCGTTGTCGCCGAAGGATTGCTGACATCCAGTGGCAACACCATGTCAGTAATGCAGAGGTTCGGCATCGTGTGTTCGAGCATAGAGATGATAATGCAATTGGTGTCACCATCTTGAAACACCGACTTCGGTGGCTTGGACATGTTCTCCGAATGTCGTCCTAGAGAATTCCACGTCGTGCATTATTTGCCGACTCTGGGACTGGTTGGAAGAAGCGGAGAGGTGGTCAGTGCATGACATGGTGTCGTGGCATGAAAGAAAGCTGCAAAGGACTGGCTTCTGTTGGTCCTTTACGGCTCCCTGGTTGGGGTCTGAGAGATGATGCTACACAGTGGCTAGAGACGTTATCAGATATGGCTCAGAATAGAAGCCAGTGGCGATCCTGCTGTAACCTTCTTTTACTTTCTCCATAAAAAGTGGTTGTGTCTCCCTTACCTGAAAGATTTCTTCCGATTGTACCATTCCGTTCCCTCATTACTACCACACTATTGTGTGCTGTTACCTATTGCCGCTGCCTTTTCCATCTCTCTTGCTTTCGCTACCCACCATTGTTCACGATCGCTGCGTAGGCTTCTTGTCAGCTTGCGCTTAATCTGACTCCGCTCTTCGTTATGTTAGGATCCAGAGTTTAGTAATCCCCGTATTAACAGTAAAAAAGTCTGTTTTAGAAAATTACGTGGACCAGCTTCGTGACCACCTGTTCAAACCTAAACCAAATAGTACTCAAGAAAAGTCGCGAGCAACATATGTACCTGTAAACCACTAAAGTAGGTTATACATGCCAAACGACTAGACACCTACTCGAGTTGATCGCAAATACTTAATTTCAAACAGATTGATCGATAGCTGTTGTTTGACCTAAAGATTTTCATGCCGGTGACTAACCCTCGTTCTACTGATAGAAGAAACCAGACTAACAGTGAAAAGGTCGTTATTTTTAAATCTTGAAAGTTGGAATAGGGCACGAGTTGACGGTTATCGGCTCAAGTATGTCAGTTACCCTCAGGAAAAACTCACCTACGTTGAAAATCTTTTAACGTCTAAATGTTTGGTTAGTCCTCCGTGATGACTGTAGCTGAGTAACTGTACTGGGAGCTACGGAAAATTAAAACTGTTCCAAAACATTACTGTATAGGAGTAACAAGTAGAGGAGTTCATGTCGTGGCACAAAAACAGATTGAAGTAGGTTTACAATGTCCTGCAAAGAAGATATTGAACACTGTAATCTGACGTGACATGACCTTGGCAGTTTTTACATACATTTGGCGAAGATATGGATGTAAGTTTGGTGTTGATACATTCAGGCTTATTTTCAGATCACTCTAGATCATATGGAGAGATACGTGCCTCCGATCAATCCTGCCACTTATCCTGTACTCACTCTCTTGCTTTTGACCATCGGGGCATTTTTTATGGCATGGTTTAGTGTATATGAATTAACTGCAAACAAATTTTCCCGCGTTTTGCTGAAAGAATTGCTTCTATCACTTGTAGCATCCACCTTCCTGGGCTGTGGAACATTGTTTCTTTTGTTGTGGGTCGGAATCTACGTATGAGTAAGTTTATTTCCCCGTAAACTTCTCTGGTGGTACACGTGGCGTCTCGGTAGCTGTCTTGTATCTTGTCCCCAATTCCGAGAATCTTACAGTAACTGGTTTAGGTAGTTGAACACTTCAAGCACCGTTCATCTAGCAGTCTCCTGGTCTCGAATCTTAGAACTTATTTGATTATAAAGGACCTTCTACGTAATTTTGTTTATAGTAAAGTCAACTCTCAAATAATATTGCAGAATCAAAGTTCCCCAATAGTTATGACATGTACGAAAAGTATTATTATGCCACTTTTATCCTAGATCTTTGTCGGTAGAAGCAATGTGACCGGACTCGATTCCATACTCATGGAACTTGACTGACTGTAAGCAAACGAACCTATGAAGTACTTAGCATCCTAACTATTTGTCTTTGTGAATATCACTCTGGTCTGTTGCATTGATAGCTTTCTTAGAGTAGTCACAAAGTGTTACTCGGCGTCATAATGCAAGTGCAGCTGACACCGGTTCTCTTGTTTTAGTGCGATTATGAACCTGGATATTTAAGACGTGCCAGCCCTATTAAGTTCCGTACAACTGTATTTGGATTTCCAAAACTTTGCTTATGCACATGGCAGACTTTTTTGGCTGTAGGTTTATTTAAGGATCCAAATATTAGTTATTGTCACTGGTCAAACAGATGCTTTAACCGTAGAGTTGTCCATACCACGATTTTTTGTTAGCTACCGACAGGGTTATTCTGGTTCCATGTTTACAAAATTAGTTGTGATTTGATGCTTGCTGGGTATAAAATCCATACAAAAGCGTTTTTAGCTATATTGTTAAATATATATTGTGTCTGTAAGCTTTACTTTCAGACTCATAAACTTATAAAATAGATATGAAGATTAAAGTTCTACATTAGTTCAGTTGACATATTCAATTTTAGTAGATAACTATCGCGTTTGTGAACACTTGAGATAATAGAAGCCGAGTTAGGAAAGACGTAATGATCTAAGTAGTATAAAGAAATCCAGATCATTTAAAATATGCCGGGTGATCGTAGTAAACACTGTGTAACAAAGTATAAAACAAAAGCAGGATTCTTGAGTTTTAGGTGTTTGATTGTATACTCTCTTTTAGGTTTCAACCAACCGTTTGCCCGTAAAGAGCGGACATACACTACTTAAATGAAATAGACTCACGTTAACGTCAGAACAATGTATCTGTCAAGTTAGATCTTTCATTTACCGTACCATAGTCAGTCTATGTAGTGTCTATTTGCCAAGATTGCCTGCCCTGCGTTTACCGCGTAATCAGTAGCAGCTAAAGTGCATTTTCGACTCATCAGGTTTACAACTGCTTATTTACTTTGTGTTTGAGAAGGAGGTTTCATTTTTATGGGCAACAACAACAGTCAAGTGCGACACACCTTATGACGATGCTTGATGGTCAAATGAGCGTGTCGTTTCCGCATAAACCACTTGTATTTATTGGAACTTAACATAAAACCCACTAATACTATTGCGACAGTTACCTGTTGATTTATCTTTCCTTTGTAGATTATGAAATTCATTTTGGTCCGTTTTCATCTTGGATAATCTTGTCTTAAAAACATTCTTTTTAAGGTTTGTAACAGAATACATTGCTTCTAGTATTTTTCACTGGCTATTTTTTCCCAGCAAAACGTCTTGTAGCCGTATAAAGAGCACGTGAAACATCGCAGTGTGTTTATCGCGAAATTGAAACGTTCGAAATACGGCAATTTTAGAAGTAAGAGAAGTGGTGCACACCCAACTGTACACGGAGCTATTTTTTGTGAGTTTTGAAAAATTCAACGCTTTGCGTAACTCCGTCCCTTGTTATTTGCACGTAACGTGGACACGCCGACAGTGATTCGCGATTAACACTGCAGAGGTCCGCCAACATATATGTTCGTAATCAACAATATCGCAAAATATCCAAGCAGTTAGTCCGAGACATCGGTACGGTTTTAGTACGCGTAAGTGTTCCTAAAACACCATATGCTGGTCCAAATCGCTTATCACTGGGAACAGAGTGATTGGGAAAGCAACCAGATCTATGTAAACGGTGTATAGAGATAGACATTGCTATAAGCTATAAACAGGGAGTTGTGTGCAAAGAACTGCCGGAGTGTGACAGTACTTTAAGAAACATTATCTCAATCAATATGTTTCTTAAGAACATCTGTGTTGCTGGCAGCTAAATATCTACCCTCAGTGTCGGTCGTCCGACAGCTAGTATTATTGGTGAGATTTAATGTACATTAAGTATCTTAAGTAATGGTGACCCTTTGTTGGAATGAGGCTCAGATTGCCGTCTTTTTCTGACAGACATCAACTCCAAACATAAGGAGAAACACCATCTAACGTAGCGACCTCCACAATCGACTTATCGATCACATTACCGTTACCAATTGTTGGAGGTGTTCGACTGAATACTGTCGCTCATTCTGGAGCAAATGTTTAGACTCAGACCATCTAGTCCGAGCACATATTTGTCTAATGATGAACAACTAGAGGATGAGCTAGCCAACTGTTAAATGATATCCAGTAAGCTGCGAAAACAGCAGTTATATCTTCTAGTAACTTAAACTAAAAAGTTAGGAAAATTAGTGGATTTCAGAGGCGTCTGCAGCACTGATAGATGCCCATAAACTAATTCCATCTGACTCACCACACGATGGAGAGCCGAGGCCGCCTGAACATATGTCGATCAAAAGCTTACATGATGATTGTGAGCAGTGATGGGTAGCGAAAGCAAGAGATGGAAAAGGTAGCAGCGACGGGTAACAGTAGACAGCTGTTAAAACCAACCAAAGAAAAGGGTGTTGGTGAAACTCCCCCGGAGATGGAACCAATGGTAAAAACGCTGAGCAACAGTTCAACCAGCCTTTACCCACACTTCATCTACCCACTATCTCCAAGTAACCTGATGTAAGTCCTCCAATCCTTAGTGAGGTTTAAACGATTATAAGTAATCTAAAGCGAGGGAGAGCAGCAGAGCCTGATAGACCAACCCCTGAAATTTTTAAGGATCGTGGTCTAGACTAAGTGGGATCTCAGCTAAAATATGGGAACTGGACATAATCTGACTGGTCTCGATCGCTGGTCGTCCCAGTTTACAAGAGAAAAACCTGGCAACCACAGTGTCTAAAATATTAACCTCAATAATACTTCGACGTCTAACTACGGCAAATCCAAGAAAAACAGGCTGGTATCAGACCTGGGCGTGGATGTATGGGACGAATATTCACTCTTCAGCAAATCCTGGGGAACAGGCACACTTTTGGACATCCTACTATAGTTATATTGTTTGACATTAAGATAGCGTTCGACTCTGTTGATCATGAGGTTATATGGCAGCGTCTGTCATTGAAAGGTGTACCAAAGAAGTATAGGCCCTACTGGAACACCACTGGTCGGCTCAGAGCTTACGGCGAAGTGCCGTCGAAACTGGTTGCTTCAAGTAGTGTTCGTCAGGGTTGTCCGCCTTCTCCACTTTTATTTAACTTCATAAGGAGATCTGATTTCTCAGGGGTTTATCTTCTACTAGATTCATTTGTTGACTCAAAATTCACAGATGTTTTATTTATTTGAACACATAAACATTGCTACAAGGTAGCACCGAACAGATATGCGCCACATAAATCATTCCATTTATGTTAAAGCTGGGATACTGCCCTGGTGCCCAAACCAAAGTAGGCGGTTTTCTTGGGGGGCCACACCCGGAGCCTTTGACCTCAAGGTTTAATCCACGAGGCAGTGGAACAACGTCGAGAGATGCAGTCCTATGGTAGCGGATGACCAGCGATCGGTTCACACGCCATTTGTTCCTTCAGGATCCTGGAGCCCATGTACACCATTGGTTTAGAATCAGGGTTCTCCAACCCCCCTAGGTGGATCTTTCATATCCAACAACCCGGTTAAATCGCCGAACATTCGCTTTTCGTCTTCTCAATTTCATAGACAACAACTCCGTCACGAGGTAGGACTTCCCTGGCAGTGGTTGTACGCACGTTGTCATTTGGGAGCATTTCGAGAGACCTGACTCGCCTCACTCTCGGTCGTACCAGGGCATTTGAAGTCACTGACGATGTAGTTTTCTGACCACCTTAAGAAACAATGCATGTTCGGGATGCGATTATCTTTCTCCAAATGAAAAAATAATACTTCTACACTGGCTTGTATGGTCGCCTGAATTAGTGATAAGGAGTGATGTAGTTGCATGCATCGACCGCTTTGCTTATCCTGAAAGTCATATCAGTACTGATGGTCATTATGAGTAGAGAACATCCTCAGGTTAGTGGTATTTGATTATAGGTGTCCACGAAGCATTGCTCATGTATTTCGGGACCACAGATTAAACAGTGAGTTAGGAATGCAGTACTAGGTTGAGACGGAAAATTGATTGATGGGGTGGTTCTCCAACTAAAGTGGTTGGGACATGTGTTACGTATGCCCCACCACTGCCTACCCTGTCGAGGGATGTTGTCTGGTGCAGGAGCAGGCTGGAAAAAAACAAGGGGTGGTCAAACTAAAACATTGAATCAATCCATGAAGTCACTGACAACTGGACTTGGCCATGTTAACAGGTATGGACTACTGATTGGAGCCTACATTATTATCGCAACCAATGTTTAGAGACTTTGAATGACATTGCTCGAAATCGTCTGCAATAGCGCAGGTGCATTCTCTCTTTGTCTTCCCCAACTTCGACCGATGTACAGGCTCTACGTTGTTATGGACTGAAATATCATATTAGCATACAGGTTATACATACTCGTGATGGGGATGCGGGTTGATGTAGACGTAGTTCCTAGAGGAATTATCGAGGTACTGGAATTTGTGATGACTGACTGGAAATTCAGCCACACATCAGATTAATGTGATGGTTACACTTGTCGAACCCTACAGACAATTTTTTTTCAGTGGATTATAGGATTCACAAGCAGTTAGCTAGACAACTATCTAGAATAATCTCTAACCAATCGGGCATACAGGTAATATCAGGCACGAAACAAGACATAGGTCAGGGAAACAACGAAAGACAAGGGACGGAATCTCTTCGCATACTTGCCAAGAATAGTTCTAGCTGATTAAGGGGCACCCCGGAGACTGCAATAATATATTTCGGAGCAGTCGTTACCAACCTATAAAGTGGTGAGGTCTTTATTACGGGATGAATGCCTGAATAGTTGTTTTTGCAACAGTCTTCTCTTGGACAGAAATGTTAGTGATCTCTTTGCTTTGGCTCTTCTACATTAAATAAGTAGAGAAACTCTTCTTCACATTAGAGCGTAATCAGGGGTTAAACCGGTGCTTCAGAAGGGGCAAGTCTCCTACCGAACCTCTTATGTTAGTAACTTGTGCTTAGTTCGCACCCGTTGCAAATTTCCGCTGAGATAGTCTTTTCCTATGCATGAAGCTAATGCTCGCTAGGGCTGGACGTTTGGATGAGCTTGTATATAGCAGAAAGTCACCACCGCCAGTTAGCCAAGCTGAGATATCGTAGGATCCACCTCCATCCAACCGCTCTAGCTAAGAGAAAGCTACTATTGTTTTCTAGCACCTGTGATATCACCACTATTTTTTGGCTTGTCTTCATAATTTTATCAGGCTGCGGCACTCTAACCGACAACAGGTTTAAAATCACTATTAATAACTGAAATCGCCCTCGACTTCTGTTCGGAGTTTCATCTAGTGGTCCGTTAGGAGAGTAATGAGACTGTATCATGCGGATGTTAAAGACATCGAGAGGATGTGGTTTCGACAGAATTATCGCTAGACAGATTGCCAATGTTCAGGATTACTTGCGCGAAGTGACTAAGCTATGGCAGATCGAAACGAGGTTGTACATCCCGTGATCACTAGATAGAACTATACTAACCAAACTTCTTCATCTAAGATAGCGTTGGGGTTTGCCTAGACCGACACTTTGAAATTCACCATATACGGATTAGCCCTGTCATACCATCAGTAGCACTTACACTAGTATCCAAACGCAAGACGTAGGTGATGCACGTCGCAAGCCAACAATGTTTCTTAAGACCATCCGACAAAAATGAATTACTTCGAGCCGTAATGTGTGGTTTAAAAGACGGATTACATCCTGAGGCGATAACAGGAAGCAATTATATGTTCAGATCCACAATCATGTCTGTTATTATCGCTTGCAGTACGGAGGTGAGAAACCCTAATACATCATGATGCAATCAATTCATGGATCTACAGAGACCGGTCTTCTTGACACCAGTATGATATACATGATCGAGTGGTTTGAGACTGCATGATCTGAGTGGAACATCCGGAATCGAGAACGGACTACATAGTACCATGATGTTACGACTAAGTGACTAATTTCGATTATCTGAGCACACAAAATACTTGATAACAAGGTTCATCTAACCCCATAATTTAAGTGAGAGCGCTCTGTTCTGGGACCTGTGTTTAATATGATCAAATTTATTACGAGAACGATAAGAAACACATGGCACTTGCATACTCAAATTTAGTTTTCACGAGTATAAGGTTTATAGCACTGAATGAACCATTTAAAACACGCAATCAACACCAACAAAGCATATCAAAAGTGCTCTGACGTCCAAGAAATTTGTTTAATAATTTATTTTTTGTGTTCTGCAGTGGCTTTCTTTTCTCTTCTTTTCTGTTCCTTGATGAGTTGTTTTAGGACTTTTTGTTCCTCCATCATGAAAGCACGAATGATCCTATCAATCACTAGGATGAACATAAAACCTACCGATTACGGACACAAGTATGACAGCGCGAACCTCCATATGGCCTGTTAACAGTCTTTAACCTTTTACTCATTGAGGTTCTTTCACGCGGTCTGGACGGCTTGATACCGAAAAGTTTACTTTTGCAATCGCCACATTTTGGAAACGTTCCACGTTTTTTTACATAGATGTAGACAACCTTGCCACCCGGAGTTTTGACTCTAAAACAAAGATACTTGTGATAAACCCATACAGAATAAAAGAATTGTAGAACATGCACATTTATTACTATTATAATACATTATTCCATGACTAAACCAAATACAGATTGCTCTGAAAAACTTCACGCAAAAAGCATTGTATGAATTAGCTCAAGATGAAATTCCTTCAATATACGTCCACATACTAGCTTAAAATACATATTTTAAGCAATGGGTGGGAGGGGACTTTTATTTTATATATTTCGCAAACGATATTGAAAGACAATGCCAGGTTGCTCATAACTTGCTGAGACTTTCCATACGTCGTTAAGAGAAACAGATAAGTAGACACACCAAATCCTATTGTTTTTAAGAACTGATCCAATCCACGATCATTTAGTGAAATATAGAACGTAGTGTAAGGAACTTCCATCAATCTTATGTTCTTAAACCACTGATGTTGTCCCGGTAGCTAGCTACTTAGAATACTACTAGCGATCAGAAAAACTTGACTCCGCCTTCATTAGCACAATAGTTTTCAATTAAGGTACACCTAGTTGTCAGTTGATGCAGCTGGCAGATATTTCATTTTAGTACACTAAGGCAACTTGACTGACTCTCATGGTTACAAGATGTGCATGTTTGGATCGATATGTGATAAATAACGGACAGAATATTCAAGGGAGTGGGCCTCAATTACACCTGACATGTTCTAGCTAATTTATGATTGGTACACTTCGAACACACTGCCATGTAAAACTAGTATTAATTAAAAGGCGGCGACGTTTCCGCACTAAATAACGTGGCAATAACTGGAAATGAGTCGAAAATTTAACATATTTGTAATAAGTTATACGAATATTCGTCAAGATTAGAACGAATAGTTTGACAGTAATTGAGCGCCGAGTATAGAGAAGTCATTATATGTGAAATATTCTCAGCGATTGAAATTTAACTAATTCCAACGAAGTCCAGACAAGTTAGCTGGACGAAACGTTGGGATTAGCTAAATTTCAATCGCTGAGAACATTTTAAATATAATTTTCACATATATTTGTAATAAGGTTTTAGGAACATAATTACACCTGAGAAAACCATAGCGACGTAATTATCACGATTCAGCTGAGCCAGAGGGGACACAATGTTTTTTCAAGTTATGATTTGAGTAAAATAACTGTCTGATCGAGTATGCCAATTTAGAACAGAAAATGTCAGCCATGAGATTACCGTGCCAAAGCCCGGTCAGTACAAGGCTATTATTTTAACCCTCATAATGGGCTACAGAGGGTGAATTGGATGAACGTTTGAGTAAATAACACTCAATAAGTAAGAACTCACTTCTTCCTCTTGTTGGAATCGGTGTTATACGACAACCTACGCCTTAAAGTCAACCGCTGCATGCTTGTCAACCAACAATTGTGCGAAAAACATGAGGGAATACAAACAAACAATACACTGTTCAATACAAATCAGTTAGTTTCCATTTTATGAGGAATGGAACGCTGTGTCTATGTTGGCCTTACTGGTGTATTTCTTTCACTTAGTTTAAAGTATCTTAAAGAAGTTTGCAAAAGGGACTGTGACAACATTTTTAGGTAACAATTTTCATTTGCTGATAATTCTATTGGAAAATAGATAGAAAATCAACGGCGTATGTGCAGCCTGTTAGACTTGGTTGAATATCACTTTTACTTCTGACAGTGGGTGAGTTTAAATTATATACCTGGGCTATGGTCATCGTTGGTTTCATCCTGTTTTCTAACTTATAAACCACTCAACTCTGTCTACTAGATCGCTAATTTCAGTAGGTAAGTGAATACCCAGTAGACAAGAGTAATCTTGCATTCTCTGCAGACAAATAGTTCTAGGTTTGTAAACTCTTTGGAGTATTCTTGTAAATTTTTCATTCTTCATGGTCTGAAAAATTAGCTCTTGTCAGTTGGAAAGTAATCATTAGATTCTAGGAATACACGTTATATTATTTTAAGTTTTCCAGTTTGCAGGAACGAGGACCAGTTTCTTCAATTGAATTTTTCGGAGAATACTCTATACAGTAGCTTGAATGGCTTGACATCTAAGTGATTAAACACTTCACGTACTGCCTAAAAGATTATGAATACTTTGACTATACTAAATAGCAGCGTGCAGAGGTTTCCAAGCTCTGACTAATAGTACGACCACGTTTACTATGTGACCTGCCAAATGGTAAGTAAGAATTGTTCATTCTGTATTCATCCGTATCTTAATCACCAATATGGATCATTACTTACTCGGACACATTTATTCAAAAGTGTTGAATGATAACCTGTTCTGTTAATTGAGTTACACCTTTCCAACAGTGTTTCCTTTGTTTTGTATCGTTTCTTTTCCCGTATCGCCCGTTTATAACAAGAGAGAATGTTATAGGAAATCGGGGAGATAGACAACCTATAATATAAATTTATTCGTAGACTGTAAAACATTTCCTAATTAACACTCACTCTTTGTCTTTGTTCAACAAAGAACCAGTCCATTGATAGAATGAATTTACATTCAAGTCGGATGGCACAGAACTTGTGAAAGTCTTCTGAACACCATATAAAATCTCCGAAATATTTTCAACGCGCTGCTTTCGGCTATCAGCAGATTGCATAAATGGTCTTCTTTCAAACCTTTTGTTATCATACTGACGTGTTTATTTTTGATTATTTGTAATCCGTAATTCCTTAATAATTCGCCGAATGAGATAAGAGAATACAAGTGACAATGTAACTATTACTTTAAGCCCAAGTTTCTTTAGTTTCAGTGACATATTTTGATGCAGACGTGACTGATAAATGGTCGAACTATCTTACTATCAGTTCTTTCAGAAACTCGAAATTAAGGTGCGACATTGATTCGATCAGCCAGAGGATTGCGCCTACTTATTTTGGATAACCATTTGAAAAGGTGAACGTGTAGATCCAATCCGTTCATTTGGCCACCAATCGTATTATCATGAAAGTATTTTGTCTTTTTGGTCCAACTTAGGTGTTCTGGCTTATAGTGGTAACATAATTATTCTATTAGTTTTAAGTACTCTTCATCCAAATTCGTTGTAACTAATCTAATATGTTATGTATGCTTCTATATTATCAGGAAAAAGTACCTTACACTAGATATTCTTAGTAGGTTTGCTTTTATAGTCATAGTTATAAATACTTGCTTTCGCACTAGATAGATGACTGAATGATAAGAAGTGAGTCGACTTTAAAAAAATATTACATCACCTGTTGGCAGGTGTAAGGGTGAAGAATTTTTCGATCAATGCTTGAAGGACTGAACATTTCACCAGATAATTGTAGATATAAAGGTACCGTAGATATTAGGGGTTCAAGAGTGCCTTTACACGTGACACCTTTATCATCGAAGAATACCAAATCGGCCAAATCAGAAGTCAGAAATGAAGGGGCTCGAAGATGTATTTGTAGGTCTATCGTTATGTCGAGAAGTGTTTGGTCTAAGCTGGCTAATCATTGAAAGGGATGCGTAGCACAGCGTACCCATCCGTGATCTGGCGCGAGTGCGTGACCGAGCTCTTTCAGTTAGGCATGTCGAGTAGAATTAATGAGGTTAACATCAACGGAGATTTATTAACCGCTACATCTCCCTACCCCTTCTAGTGGAGTGGTGATGACCCTAAGGCGTGGTTAGGCAGAAGTTTAAATCCAACAAGCTTGTCGTTGGTGAACTATTTTCTGATAGCTCGGTGTTACCAGTAGCATAGAGTCGTCTTTCTTCAATATAAGGGGTTATGTTGCACAGTATAACAATAAAATAAGTACAATCAAAATTTCCATTCATTGTATTCTTCGTCAGATTTTCATCTTTTCTGGCCGTTCTGGAAAGGAACAAAGACATTGCAAGTGCACGTCGAAATACAATTGTCCGTGCGTAACGACAAAAAACGTGAGAACAAAGATAAACTGGTATACATGCGCAATGTTAACACGCAAAGCGTAACAACAACTTTTGCATAATCATTTTCTTAAGGAAAAAGGTATGGACATATTTGGGCAACTTTGGTCTTTTGGCACGATAATACAAATAAACGAGGTAAAATAAAATGTTATTCAGTGTCCTACACACAGTAAGCGTTTAAGTGTCCGGGAACCTTAGTCTTCTTACAGAGTGCGTTGTTTCGGGCCAGTTGTCAGATACCAGCGTAGATTCTACGTGGTTGTTCATAATCGGGAAGGGCATCGTAACTGTGAAGTTCATGTTATTCGAGTGCAAGTGAAGAAAATCAACATTGTTAGGGTTTCCTTCTAAATAGGTGCCTTAAAAATAGACAATGCTGGCGTTAGCGTTAGTTCCGTCTCTATCGATGGCAAAGTATTTAGGTTTACGATGAAGGAGTGTGAAGGACCATTCGTATGCTAGGTCCAGAGGTCGTCGTAAGGAAGCACAACGTCCAAAAACGTGTGTACAATAACGTAAGATAGGTTGAACGAAAACATCAGTTGACTGTGGTAGAGTGGAAACAGGTTTAGCTGAACGTACTGCGTTTGTAAGCTTGCCCCAGTAAGAGATTAGCTCCTTGAAGAATTTGAAGGATACACAAAGTCTCAGGAAAGTCGGAGTTTTGTTATGCCACACTATATCCAACGTCGACTTCACTGAATTGGGAGTACCGACGAGTGTAAGAGCATTGATCCGCCGTGAAACATCTATAGATGTCAGTGAAATTGCCCTACCAATCCACTAGCTTGTGGGTGGTTGGTTGCCGTTCGCAATTGTGTGATTATTAGTAGTGAAGTAAGGCAACGATAAAGTCCGGATTCGAACTGAGGTGATAGTTGAGGGTCAGCCGGCCTTCTATGCATCGTTCGACAAAGGTGCGCGTCATTATTTCAGCAATAATGTTCTAAATAGACACTGCCTCTGGTCATCCTGTGAGATGGTCTATACACGTTAAGAGGTAAGGGCATCCACTTAGATCTAGTAGGGGTCTTTCCAAATCAAAACAAACAAGGTCGAAACGAAATTCGGGAGTTTTTAGGAAAGCCCAAGGGACATTTGTTGCCTCAATCACCCTGGATTTCCGGCGGTTTACATAAGAGCATGCTCATTCTTTCACGTCTTTATTCATATCAGGCCAGCAAAGTCGTTCTGCGATGAGCTTAGTGACTGCTCAAACACCTGGATTGGATAGTCTGTTCAACGTGTTGAGGACGTTGCGTCGATAATGTTTCAGCACGATCAAGCGATCCGTACCTGTGGAGGTATGACAGCAAAGTGTCCTTGCCCTTTTCCATTTTTTTAAGCCGTAGTTACAGAGTTGTAGAAGATCACTTATGGTAAAGATCAGTGTTTTATTTTTGAAGCTAAATAATTCTTAAGTCCATCATGTGGTCGAATTCGTTTTCGGCCTACTTCAGCTTTTCGGGAGCTACTCAACGTGGTTTTGAAAATACGGATGGTCTTTTGATCATGATGTGGTGTGCAACATTGCTGGTCACGTATTTCAACATTGACCGCGTTTTGAAAATTTTGGGTTATTGTCGAGTATCCGTTTATAGTATGGGTTGATTATGTGCTTGACAGTGACTGAAGACAATCTACAACCAAAAAGTGAAGTTGCTAACCTATTTCCGAGCTTGTCGATGAGCAGATTATCGTGTTGTAGCAGGTGTGTACCAATGGTTGGCATAGAAACACTTGCAACAACGAAGATACAGTGGATGGGTTGGCATTAACCAATGTTAAGGTACACATATTGCTTACCATGTGTGGCGATCAGTTATCAGAATTCGCTGGAAGAACGCTAACGTCTGTGTCAGCGTCGACCAGATAACAAACTTTCTCAGTTACATCAGTGATGTATGACAGACGGCTATGTTTGCCGCCTTCGGTTGCCGTTAACGCACGCCGGCTGGGAAGTTTCTCGAAACGTTTTTCGTGTTTATTGGTTTGGGATAGGAAAGTTGACGCGTTTTCTGCAAGTTCGAGATTTTTCATACTGATTATGATATCAGCACCAACCAGGGTTAACAACCTATCATGATCTACGGACTGACCATTTTCGTGAATAACTCCTTAGAGGAGTTTGGGAGCGTCTACGGTCATGATGGATATTAGGGTAACGTGTCGAAGTAGGACAAAGTTCTGAGACATGATTTCTTTTCGTTTGAGGCTTTTTAAGACTGAATACACCCTGATCTTAGAGGTCCTAGTGACCTCTAGAATACTGTCGGCAGATGCAGCCAGCTCGTCTACAGCGTTGTTTTGAAATGAAGCAAACACTGTCTGCACGGGTAGGGAGAACTTAGACAGGAAGAGCTGTTAAAAAGGCCTTCGTCAAACGTCCTTTGACTAATGACCTCAATCAAACGTAACAACATTTCGGTTACTGAGTCATGTCGAATTTCGATGTTGTGGAACAGTTTGTCAAACCCTCAATGTGTCATAAGGTTCCGAAACATAACCAGTAAACGTACTGGATATGATGTACCTGCTGAAATCACGCGGTAGTGCCTTCACTACTGCGAGTAATTTGC